CGTGTGCGTAACTTTGCAGTGTTCGTGGTAAACAAAGATGAAGACATCGCTTACAAAGTTACGAAAGAATTTGAAAATGACCCGAACTTTTGAAAGTACACGTCTACAACGCCTATAAGATAAGTAACAAAAACTGTAAACATCTTTGTTTCCTGTGTTTTTTGCTTATTACTCGTAAAGTACAACAAGTTTAAATTTGCGCTTTTTTATTATAAAAATTGAACGAAAATCTAGCGCGCCCACCCGACGTTATAGAATATGAAAAATTTGATCCTTTTCCGTGATGGGTATAAAACATTCGGTTACGACCCAACACAATTTTCTTATTTGGTTTTTCGGATTGCAATTTTTTTATTAAATGATAATATTTTATATACATAGGAAAGGGTTATGTGTGCGATATAGAGTCAATGCCCTCCACGACTTTACTGACACATACATACTCTTTTATTGAAGAAAACAATAATAATAGTAGATTTTTCATTTTTATTGGATTTTTTTTTTTTAATTTTTTGAAAATAATTATGGGATTAATAGCGGATCATAGCGATTTATTGGATTCACTAAATGTTTATAAAGCAGAGAATATAAGCACGACGACCTTACAAGGTAGATTTGTTCATGCGTAGCCAATACAGCTATGTCTGTCTATCTGTCCGTTGATTAAAACATTTTCAAAGGAAAAACAAAGTTGCTTTCTGCGTTCGTTCTTATCATTCTCGCCATGTTAGATCCAAAAGTAAGCGAAATCGATCCGTGAATCCAGAAGCGATCGCACTTGTTAAAAAAGTTAACAAAACTTTGGTGCTAAGACATCTATTCTGTTGAGTTTACTCTCATACAAGTAGAGAGGAGATTTTCTATTCATTTTGTTATGCAGTGTACTGCTCCTGCATTACTGAATGCCAACGTCAATCCCGATCAACTTTTCTTCTGATGAAAAAAGAACTTTTTCAAAAGTAAGCCTAAAAATATTTTAGTCAACTTATTGCTAATGATTAGTTAGAAATATGAATTCCGAGATGAAACCATAATCAGTCTTTTGAGTTTAACTAAGTAACTTTTATATACCTATGTCGATAAGGAACAGAAGCCTGGTTCGAACGAAGAATAAGTCGCAAGTTGAAAAGTGTATTGATTAGAAGGTGGAAAATCTATTAATAGAGGAGGCACATTTCAGTCCCACCGCAATTGCATCAAGCGATGCATAAACAAAATTTGCTTATGCTTGTTACGCAACCAGCCTAACTAGCAAAGTTAAGAATATTTTGCTGTGGTAGGCAAATCTGTACTATCTGTACTATGGTTTTTGAATATTCATCTCTCACTTAAAAAGCATCTTTGTTCAAGTCAGGCAACAAAGGTGATGTGTTTGGACGACTTAAGTCGACTTAAATAAAGTCCTTTCGCTCGTCCTGGTTTAACAATAAAGTTTGTGTCTTACTTAAGGGTTTCAAATACGCAAAATTCTAGTTTCAAGTTTAAAATTGACTTTTAAATTTTCCCTTAAGCAAATCTGCTGGATAAAAAGACAATTTTGAAAAAATTCTATAGGAACGTACGATTTTATATGTACACTACGTCTATCTTGCAATCACATATGTTCACAAGTTATTATGTGCGCATTGAAAAATTGAGAGATCTGTATGCAAACTAAGGCCCTATAAAGTATATGACTGCCGTAAAGGCAAGTAGAGCGCAAGAAGCGACATTATCATGTTGGCGTACGGGGGTTCGATTTTCAGTGCACTGGGCCGTACTTTCATTATGATCGGTACATGAGCCGACTTGTACTGAATGCGGTCGGCCAGTCAAGGCTTAATACTTATCGATCGGGCAGGACGTCCGATAATATGGGTACTGCCTATCCTTCTTTCCCCACTTCTTTCTGACCGTCATCGTGTTAAAGGTATAGAAGACGTTTCCTAATTAATCGATCGTTTACAAACTAAATTATATTTATATCATATCCCTAATCAGAAGAAGAAATTGACCTGATTTTCTGTATTGTTAAAAAACATCGGGCCGAAATTCGACTTGCATTTATTTTATAAATCTTGACTTATATGAATAGGCAAAGTGATGATGATGGTAGATTATGGTTAGAGGAGAGAGAAAAGAGAATGCAATGTGTATACACGTTCGGTTTTAAAGTAAGAACGCGAGGAATGGTGTCAGAGACCCCGGCCAAATAGTTGCAAAGAAGAAGAGTGTGGTTAACGAACAAGCAGTCGTGATAAAAGAGCGAGTATTCCTGGTTAAAGAGCGGACAAACAATTGCAACTGAAGAGCTAGCAAACACGGTCAAGGGTCCACCAGGCGGGGTCATAGAGCAAGCAGTCGCAATTGAAGAGAGCGCAATCAAGGTCAAAAATAAAACAAGTGTGGTCATAAAGCAAGGAACCGCGGAGAGCGAGCAGGCGCAGTCATAAGTTGACCAGTTGTATTTAAAGACTCGCAGCAGCCTCCCTTAAAAAAATGCCCAAGTGCGGATAGTCGCCCCGGGCGGTTGCGTAATATATGCAGGCAGCACCAGCGCTAACGACAAAAGCACTTGGTTCATGGACAGATCTCGCTCTAGTCTTTCGAAAGCATTGGTTGAGGAAGCGCAGCACATCCCATCGAAAGTGTCGCACGCTCTTTCGTTATCCCTAAGCACTTGACCCTTCCGCTGTACGCATCCGAAAGCCTCCAAGCAAACTCTCGCTTATACGTGCAAATCATTCGCTATCTTTGCCCCGATAAAATGTTTCTTATACCGCCTTCAAAAATTCATATTCATCCTTTCCGTTTTAAAAGAAACGATACACTTATAGTGCTATAATAATGTAAATAGTGCGCCTGATTATTGCATGGATACGCTTTTGAAAACCAAACAAACAATAACAATATCTTGCGATTTATTTCACTGCTATGGTAATAGAAGAAATCCTTTGTGAGCGTATTGCACCGTCAACACATGTTTATATAATAATGGAATTCTTAAATGTCGCATGGCATTCAATTTGAAATTCTTCTTGCAACATTACCGTTTTTAATATTATTAACATATATATGTACATAGGTATGAGTAGGAGAAAGAATTTATTTGTATTTGCCTTATCAGATTGAATCACTTGTAGGTCTTTAAAGCGGAATTGTAATGACATTGATTTTTTGTTAAAAAAAAAGAAAAGAAATTTTCAAATCAATTCAATTAATCCCAAAGCATTTATTTAACAAAAAAAAAAAAAAAAAAAAAAAAAAAGAAACAACTAACGATATAAGTACTTAAACTTTTCGATAATTAAATTAACTCAATTTTTTAGCCCAACCAGCACTTTTACATTTATTTATTTATTTATTTTTATTTATTTTTTTGTTTTCTTGTGTCAACTGGAAAATGTGTTTATATCGGAGGCAGTATATCTTTTCAATTAACGAATTATTGTTAATTTTACTTCAATATTAACTTTCGAAAATTTTATTAAACTAAAAATATACAAAAAGTGTGTTCTTTACGGTTTTTAAGAAGGCTTTATAGAGAAAATCAAAAAACATATCAAGATAATAAGGTTTTTTCTTGCTCATCAAATTCTCTGTCATCGTGTGTGTGCGTGCGTTCTTTTGGAGTCAATTAGCAGCTGACAACTCTAATCTTCTATAAGAGATTAAAGAAGCTGCTCCTCATTGATAAATTTATTGAACTTGTTTAGGTTTTCTGTGTGAAGCGTGCGGTTTTTTAAAACTCGTCAGGATTATTTTAATAGGAAATCTTTACCTATCATGTAAGTAGGTTAAGCAGAACAGATTATCCAATCTGCTATTAACAAATTCAACCAGATCAGCGGCCCAGAGAAAGATTAAACAAACGCAGACTAGTCAACCTTATCAAAACAACATAATTGGTGAAAAGTGACGTAGCAGGTCAAACAGCCCAGTTGATCGAAGGAAAACTAGTAATGATAAAGATCCTAACAAAAGCACATTAATTGGTCAAAATCACCTAATAAGTATAAGCAGATTAATAGAGGACAAAGAAGCTTAGCAGGTCAAAGAATCTTAGTAGGTTCGAGAAGCTTGGTAAGGAAAAGAAGTCTAATAGGTCAAAACAGTCCACTTGATCAAAGCATTCCACTTGGCCTGACAGGCCTCTGACAAAAGCTTATCGATTGGTAAAAGTGGCCCAAGGGGACTAATTGATCAAAGCCGCTAACACGCCAAAATCAAAGCAAAAGTATCCTCGTAGATAAATTAAGATCAAAAGCTTAGCAGCAGCGTAACTGATCAATCTAAAATCATTAGATAAACCTACCTGCGCAGATTGGCCGTTCGGGTTACACAAGAAAAGCTAATCAGATCAAGCCAATAAAGTAAAGCAACTAAGGGAAAGAACAACGACTAAAACCTTTTCATTGTGTACGCGAGAACATCCCTCACACAATGCCGGCTTGGAGGCATCTCATTACTAAGAACGCTTAAGTAATGTGGGTGCACAGGCTTAAGGGATACAACATTTTTTGAAACGATATTATATTATATTGATGGATAAGTAGGAAAGGGGAGAAGGGTTATTCTCGCTGCACCCCTAAGGTGTGCAAATTTCTTCGAGACGATATTATATTTAGTGGATAAGTACGAAAGGGGAGAAGGGCTATTCTCGCTGCATCTCTAAGAGATATAACTTTCTTCGAGGTGACGTTATAATTGGCGGATAAGAAGGAAAGGGCGGAAGAGTTATTCTCGCTGTATGATTATAGAAATGCGGCCTTCTTTGAAAAGAAAGGACTTGCATGTTTCTAACACTGGCTCTTCTAAGGCCGAAGAAAATGAAAGAGTTGCTGGTCTTAATTGACTAAACTAGTCGCCATAAACAGATTAAACCGACCGGATTAGATAGTCTAAGTGAGTTCAAAGTATTTGTAATTTACAGGAGAATGGTACAAAGTCTATGAGAATGAAAAATTTTTTAAAATTTTTAGATTCCTATTTAAAAAGAAAAGTAATATTTCATCACTTACCGGGACTTTTCTAAATGTTTTGTTCAAACGTCAGTTCCGTTGACATGTTCAATTTTCTAATTATAATATTATTGTAATAAAAAAGTTTCATAATAACTTGATTAAGAGAAGCGTAAATTTTTCCTTGACTTTTTATTAAAAAATTTCAAAAAAAATGTGCTTAGTTAATACAAGAAATTATTTGAAAATAATTGAAATTTTTTTTTTTTCAATTTAATCTAGTAAATAAAATTAATTTTTGTATATATAAAAAAAAATAATAATTTTTTTTATTTGTTATATTTAATTACGATATTTCTCCCAAACTTTTCATATTTGATTTAATTACGATTTTTTTTTTATTTCTTTTTTTTTTTACATTCACATCGTGATACTTTATGTTGAATATAGAACATTTAGCTGGAAAAGCCAAAGTCCTTTACTTAAAACGTATGCAGTTTGTCTTTCTCTCTCTCTTTCTCTCATTGTTTATGTTAAGCACTTAACACTTGTTGCACACTATTAATAACTGCTAACACGGAAACTGTTGCAATAAAACTTTTTTTTATTTTGAAAAAATGATTGTTTAATAATTCAACAGGTAGTCACATATAACGATATCACCACTTATTAGGCGCGAGCGTTAACTCAACAATAAAAACTATCAACTCCTAAAAAAGTTAAAATTAAAATATTAAATGTATTCCACAAAAACATAATTATAATAATCGTGTAATTAACAATACAAACTGGGTTGAAATGAAATCGGATTTAAATGAAAGCTTTGTATATTTCAACGGTGAAAAACGATATATATTTTATTTATTATTTTTATTATTTTGTTTATATTGTTAATTAATTAATTAAAAAATTTATGTTTATTTAATTTTTTTAAATATCCTTTCATTATTTGTTTCACTCTTCTATCATTATTTTCGTCGCACCCCTATACCGTCAATATTTGTTCATCCGGTTCATCCGCTTATTACAAATTGTCGTTACTTTAGCGTTTCTTGAAATAATATAACTTCAACGCACATCAGATTTATCAGACTCATTCATTTGTCGTTAAGGTGACCACTCGTTTCGATTTTTAAAAATTTTATATACTTTTAGTGTATTTACCAAATAAAATATTAATAACATTAGAATGATTTATTAATGGAAACGGAAGAAAAAACTGTTTTTAAATTGTATATATATATGGTGCCAAATTTATAAAGAAATAATCTGGTCACCTAGGTTACGATTACTAGGTGAGCATTACTATATGATTATGTGGAGTCTGCATAAGCAATCAAAGCAAAACTGAGAGTGTGCATAGGCAATAAGATATTTTTTATTAATGATTTCTTCTTTAGTAATTTATTATAGCAAAACGTATATAATAAGAGATTAAAAAATTAATCGTTTTATTTTATATAAGTTCTTACATTTGTATTTTCAATAATATTAATTAGAATTTTATTAGGATTCGGTTAGTTTTATATATAAATTTTCTTTTTCTTTAAATTATTTAAGAGGTGAGATATGAAAGATAGGTAATATTAAAAATATTAAAGTTAATAATAGGATTACTATTTATAAGAGTTGTATGGAAAAAAGTGAATTGAATAATTTTTTCTAGTCCTGCTGTTATTAAAATTTAAAATTATTAACTTTATTTGTTTATATTAATGATAATTTAATATTATGTCGTAATACATTTCTTTTTTTTTTAATATCTGGTTAATTATTAAAAATTGCGTAAGCCACACATATAAAAATATCGAGAAAAACATTAGTAGCATAAAAATGTTGTCACTTTTCAATTCTATAAAAAAATTTCTAGAATAAAATTGACTGGGCTGTGCCAACCAAATTCTGTTGAGAATAAAATTCCATTTCTGAGATTAAAATTTACTTTGCTGTATATTTCTAATGGATTTCAAATGTAATAAATTTTGTGGAGAATAAAATTCTATTTCTGAGAGTAAAAATTACTTTGCTGTATATTTCTAATGAGTGCTCAAACATAATAAATTCTGTTGAGAATAAAATTGTATTTCTGAGAGTACAATTTACTTTGCTGTGTATTTCTAAAAGATGCTCAAATGTAATAAATTCTGTTGAGAATAAAATTCCTTTCTGGGAGTAAAATTTACTTCCCTGTACATTTCTTATGCAAATGCAAAAAAATGTTGGGAATATTGAATTAATGTAGATAAATTTACATTTGTGTACGTGTTTGCTTAAAAGCGTTTTTATCAATGCTGCTGTAATGATGGCTCGATGTAAAATAAAAGCTTAACTTCCAAGTAAAAGCATTATCATAACAGAAACTGCTTACATATATATTGCTGTAAAGAAAATGAGATATATGTGAAGTAAAAATGTAAACTCTCAAGCATTAGTTACATAGCCTATAAAGCTTCTTATATTTTAATGTTTTCAAAAAATAGAGAGAATTTTAATTGCAAAAATACATAAGTTATGTAGTAAGTATGTTAAGTTTGTGCGAATGCATGCAACTCCCAAAAAGGACTTAAGACAAGCTCAGCTTTTATTACACCAATTGATTTAGAATCACTTTCTGAATCACTCTCTGAATCGTTCTAAGCTTGCCCATTTGTCTGTCCGTCTGTCCGTCTTGTCTTATCTTGTTCAATCGTAAATTTTTAAAACATTTCGATAAAATTTGATACACCGACATGTTTTGGCGTTCCACATAACAACTTATTTTGAAAATCCGTTATATGAATGACTGAATTAAGGAAAGTTGCGTAGGCTATTTGGTAAAGGGCCATATCCCTTCTGTTTTTCTTAAGGCCGTTTACTGAAATTTATACGACATATATGCGTATGAGTACACATGATCAATATATGTTTACAGTAGCATGAGTGTTTATGAGAACTGTGCGTGTTGCTGATGCGCAATGCAAATTATGTGAGGAGATTCAGACCGTTTGAATATGATATGATACAAATATATAAAAATATAAAAAATATATTTAACAGTCATTAGTTACATTGCTCTGCTATTTAACAGTCATCAGTTAAATTGCTTTGCCATTTTTTCTGAATTTGATCGTTTATGGTCGGCTTTGCAATTTGTTTGTTGTATACTGGTAAGAGGCACTGAGAGACAGAGAGAGAGAGTAACTTGACTTTGCTGAGAATAACATTGCGGTAAATAAACCGCCCGAATTCCACAAATACGGTAAATTAACCGCCCGACTTCCACAATTAGTTTACGCCATCTAGTAGCAAACATCATTATCACGTTTCACGGTGTATCATTTCACGATACAACACAAATCCAGGCAATCTTCGTAATCTACTCTGAAAAGTAAACAAAACTGTACAACAACAATCTCGGGTTTTCGCGCAAACTATATATTGCCAACACATGTTTTTTTTAAACTAAAACGTATCACCTAAAGCTTTACATCCCTCCGTCTACATGCACATAAAAAGAAAAATTGGTGACAACAACATTTCTCTGGACTTTGATTATCTTTTGATTGGAAAATAATTTTTTGTTTTAGTACAAACTAATTAATTCTAATTAAAATTGTTCTTCATTCAAAATCTTTGAACATAAGAATTTTTTTCGTGCTACACTGAACATACACCTTGCAATTTATTTCCATATTTTTGTTTTGGTATCTCAACACGTGTTTTAATAAAACTTAAAAACATTAGCACAATATGTATATAAATAAATAAATAAATAAATATAAATAAATAAACTTAGTTACGGTGCCAGCTTAAACTTGTAAGCTCATATCATATGCCATAATTTTTAAAAAATTACAAAGTGAACGAACAATAATGATTAGAAGAAGAAGAAAAAAAAATAAAAATATGCTGTAGTGTCTCCGCTGTATAATCATTTCTTAGCAAAAACAATAACCATACCTATTGTGAATCAAAGCAAAGACAAAGACACTGCAAAGTTGCCTTTTATAGAAGGAAGGACTTAGTAGAAAAAAATGCAAAACATTACAAAGCCATGTTAGCGTGTTTATTCGCATAAGCAAATAAAACAAAGATTACAACCTTTTAATAATATTTACATGCAATTTCTAAGCTAAGAGAGGTTAAGTTCTTTTAGTTATAAATATTTTCCTAAAATTCCTAATGTATTTTATTAATAATAATTTTATAGCTGTAAATAAATGTTTCGGTATTTTTAGTACTTTTTCTCACAAAATTCATACATTTTATCAATGGACGTTGGTAACACTTTATGTCGATCAGTGGATGAAATTTGTTAGCAAAAGAAAATAAACAAAAACCTTTGCAGCTTAATGGAAAACTAAGAAATTCCAATGAGTTTAGTTGTTGTAGTTGATTTGACTGAGTCTGATGTGCTGAGGAACGTTAGCGGTTAAATTATTTTTTGCATTTTTTTTACTTGACAAACAAGAAATAATGAAGTAAAACGAAAGAAATCTTAATATCAAATAGAAAATGAAATAAAATCATGAAAAGAAAAACGGTAAAATTTCTTAAAAAAACGCGTTTTATTATAATGAAAAAATAAAAGTTTAATAAATTTTGCAAAGAAATATTATTTAACACGCAAAAACCAAAAGGAGCAAGAAAGAAAAAAACCCATTGCGTCAACGTCTGCGCAGGCGAAGCTGCCCTTTTATTGTTGTTGCTGTGAAAGAAAGAGAGAGAGAGCAAACAAGTGAAGTTTTAAGATAGATTTACTGCGGTTCGCGAATGTGTAAAAGAGAGATAATGTAACGATAACTAACGAAATTCGCAATAAATTAAAGAAAAAATAAAAATAGAATTATAATTAAGAAAATATATATATATATATATATAGATATATATGCATATATATATAATAAGATTTGTTTTCCGCGAAAAGTCCATAAGCAGTATTAATCTAATTAAAGCAAAATATTATTAAATTTTTACCTTTATTGTTGACGTTGTGTTGTTTTGTTGGCATTAAAAGGTAACGAAAAAAAGTAAAAGAAAATCAAAACAAAAGGAAAAGAAAAAAAAAAAAAAAAAAAAAAAACAAGTGCAAAAATAGGTGTAAACGCGTACTACTAGCAAAAAATTGCAAATCTTTCAACACAAAAATTTTTTACATACAATTGGATACACACACACACATGCATGCCTACTAGTACACGCATTTAAGAGTTGCAGTCGTCGTCATTGCTCATAGCTCTCTCTCTATGAAAGCAGCAATAGCGCTAGCATAAAAAGCAA